AAAAAAAAAAAAAAAAAAATAGCTGGTTAAAGCAAAAGATTTCTGGGCCATACCCAGTTGATTGTATAGTCTGGAATGGGACCATAAAATCTCTGTATCTAATAGGTTCCCATGTGATGAGGTGATGCCCCTGCCTTGGTAGGGAAAGCAAGCAGCCCTGGGGAACAACTGCTGTTCGCCAAATCCTTTAACCTGCTGCTTTCCTCCCTACTCTGCTGCGTCCTCCAGCCCACAGTGTCCCCCCCGGCTCCATCCAGTGCTCCTCCCCTCCCAACCCTCCCACATTCTCCCAGGGCACATTTTATGAGCACATCCCAGGCCCCATCCTGATAAATAATTCTTCCACACTCTGTGGAAAGCCTGAGACTGTCCACCCACTTCTGGCCAGTTCCCTGTAATCACAGGGTTCCCAGTCCTCACTACTGTCAGCTGTTGCTGTCTTGGGTGACAAGTCCTGTGTCTGTCTTCCTACATGTCCACCACATCTCCATTTCCACCACCACTCCCATTTTACCACCACCAACAGCTCCATTACCAAGACCTCGAGTCCAGACATCCCTCTCTCTAATTCCCATCTCTTCTCCTTCCAGCTTTCAGGGCTAACATATTCCCTCTGATCCTTCTTGGACTTTAGCAGCTGCCCCAGGTTACCGGCCACTCCGCCTTCACTCAATCTGTCAGCCTTTCCCTTTCCTCCTTCCCTCCTTACCCAGCTTAGATGCACCATTCCAGCAACCTTATTGCCTCAATTTGGAGAGAGCCAGTCCTGTGGAAGGACTCACTGCAGATCCAGATCACCAGCCTCACACAGGTCCTCTGCACTTCTCTGGTCACCTCTCTGTACCAACTCTCTCAAACCTTCTCCCTAAGCTTCCAAATCCTATGTGAACTAAATTCACATGTAAAATAGTCACCAGATGAGGCCTCCTTTATCGTGTTCCTATTCACATTAAAGATACCAGGCTTATTTCATGGAAAGGGTGGTGGTCTTAGGCTAAAAGGATGGCTAGATAGCAGGTTACAGAAATTACAGTTATTTATTTATTTATTTTTGAGACAGTCTCATTATGTCACCCTTGGTAGAGTGCTCTGGCGTCACAGCTCACAGCAACCTCGAACTCTTGGGCTTACGTGATTCTCTTGCCTCAGCCTCCCAAGTAGTTGGGACTACAGGTGCCTGCCACATTGCCTGGCTGTTTTTTGGTTGCAGTGGTCATTGTTGATTTTAGCTGGCCCAGGCTGGGTTCAAACCCTCCAGCCTTGGTGTATGTGGCCCCTGCCCTACCCACTGAGCTACAGGCGCTGCCAGGAAATACAGTATTTTAACTATTTAGACAAATTAGTACTTCCTTTTTTTTTTTAGATAGAGTGTCCCTCTGTTGCCCTCAGTAGAGTGCCATGGTGTCATAGCTCACTGAAACTTCAAACTCTTGGACTCAACTGATTCTCTTGCTTCAGCCTCTCAAGTAGTTGGAACTATAGGTGCCTGTCATAACACCTGGCTAGTTTTTCTATTTTTAGTAGAGATGGAGTCTTGCCCTTGCTGGGTTGGTCTTGAACTCCTGAGCTCAAGCAAATCACCCACCTTGGCCTCACAGAGTGCTGAGATTACAGGTAGGAGCCACCTTGCCATATTAGTGTTTTTATTTTTTTTCAGGCATGTGATTAACTTCTTTATTTTCTCCTGGCTTAAATAACCAGGGACTACCACTCTCTGATGGCGAGTGGCCCATATTAGTGCTTTTAAGTATGAACACAAATACAATGGCTATAGTTACATATACATCTTGCAATAATGTTCAGTCTGAATTTGAGACCCTTTTTAAATGTGAGACAGAATTAGGAGGGGCCTATCTACTTCCAAATCTCCTCCTTCTCTCCTAGCCTTCTCTTCACCCTGGCTGCACACGGGACTCACTGGGGGAGCTGATCGATTATACAGACCTTGTCAGTCAGATGGGGGATGAGCCCTAGCACCAGGATGTTTTAAGCTCTGTAGCAGAGGTTGAGAACCTGCCCCCCCTCCACCTATTCCCCC